GTGTGTGTTTGTGTGTGTGTGTGTGTTTGTGTGTTTGTGTGTTTGTGTGTGTGTGTGTGTGTGTGTGAGGCTGGTGCAGAGGCCATTTCATTAAGTACAGGCAATTGTCTGCAGCTTGACTAAAACTACGTGGAGAACAGCCGCACGTCTGATTACTGAGCCAGAAAGCATTTCCTGGACGATTGCTGAGATCGTCACCGGCATCCCCCTGCCACCCACTCTGCCTCTGGCTGTGTCCTACTTCACAGTATAGGTGGAGTCCATCATGTCCTTCTCGGGGGATTCGTTTTGGTTACGTGCTGATAGAGAGGAATCTTTGTTTTTTTACACGACAGGAAGTAGTATCTGTGCGGCATGCGGGCACCGATATCTGCAGGCGCGGATGTGGAGCAGGCGTACTGGAAATGCCGCAGTGGTTTGTTGTGCAGGATCTCCGTGTCACACGTCAAAACCTAATTGTGAACCGAGACGACTCACTTTCTCCTGTGGTTGCTAAGCAATAACCACTGGTCTGTTTTTCCTGTGAGTCTCCACTTTGCTCATTCACAGTATTTGTGACAGCGTGCACGGGCGACTGCGTCTCTGCCTGCACTCAGCCTGTGCTGCGACAGTGCCACAGCATCGTGTGTCTAACCACTGCACAACAACAGAGCTGACGCACTCGGAGCAGTCTACGCTGCGGTCCTGGGTTTGTGGAGGTCTGAGAAACCGCCGGCGGTCGGCTGTGTCACCCAGAGGTGAACTGTGACCCCTGAAGCCTGGATGCAGGCAACAACTGCTAAGTAATAATCTTATATCGGACTATATAAAAGGTGACATAAGGTTGATGAGCTCAATGCCAGCACACATCACATGACAGCTCAGCTGATATTCTTTCAGATATGCATACGTCTGCTCATAAACAAAATTCCTTCCTGCTGGTTTAACCTCGGGACACCTTCTGTGCGGCTGCAAGCAGCTTTGCAACCCGCCTCCACCCCAGCTCCTCTTCTCATGTTTCTCACCTTCTCAGTTTCATGTCGGCCGTCCACATGTTTAATAGACAACAAAGCCGCGCTGTTATGGTCCTGTCTAAATAATCTGTTATTTCAATTAATATTTAATCTGCTGGTTAATTTTCTGTTTTACTTGGTAAAATTCAGGAAAAAAAAGAGAAGTTTTATTATACCAGCGAGGCTACGTCCACACGTACCCGGGTATTTTTGAAAACGCAGATTTTTCTATGCGTTTGCACCTTTCGTCCACACGTAAACGGCGTTTTTGGTCACTGAAAACGGAGATTTTTAAAAACTCCGGCCAGGGTGGATATTTTCTAAAACTCAGTTTTTGCGTTTACGTGTGGACGAGAAAAACGGAGAAAACAGAGAAAACGCAGCGTCAAAGGTGTGCGCCTTTTTTGACGTCACAGTGTGCACCACGTTATTGTTTCGGTGAATTGAATTTCTACAATACTGTTACTGTTAATTGTCTCTGCAGTCTTTAAATGCTTTGTTTACTTTTTCCCACCGAGGCTTCTAGACTTCTGATTGGCCAACATTTCTGCACGGTTAGGAATATAGCGCCACCTGCTGCTTTGGCATGTTCCTAGCAGCGTTTTCCTTCATTTCTGCCTTTACGTGTGGACGGGATTATTTTTTAAAACGAAAACGGAAAATCTCCGTTTTCAAAAATACCCGTGTACGTGTGGACGTAGCCGACTCCACCTGTTTTATTTATCCAACATAAAGCACACTGATTTCACACAGAGACAAATCCTCCCTGTCGGCAACACGTTGCATTTCTCCTGCTGCGACTGATCTGAACTGTTTCTGTGGTTAGACTGTTTCAAATGAGTAGAATCAAGGTGACTGAGAATGAGTCATACAGTTATCAAAGGAAACTCTCTCTGTGGCATCTGTACAATATAATTGATCTATTGAATGTGCAGGCACAATGCAGTGCCCGCCCCTGAACCTGAATCACCACAGAATGTGTGTTTTTTAAAGGCTTTGATCAGTCTGTAAATCATTTGCTGCTTCTTTTGTTACTCGGGCTTAGACACTATTTCAACATTTCCATTGGAGGAAGAAACCACCGCGGTCTTCTGCCTGCAGCTCTGCAGACACCTGCGTCTGCGTGAGCCCGTCAGGCCAGTTTGATAATCAAACACTTCCACTGCTTTTGTTAATGTAGCTGAGCCAGGCGGTGAGCCAGGGCACGACAACACAACACAAAGGCGGTTATGATAAAGTCAAGTGTGTGCATAGATTGTGACACGCTCTATGGCCATCACTGATCTGTTCACGCTGAACAAGCGCGCACGCCGTCTGTGAGCTACTATTTCACATCGTTTAAGCTCAGGCTGAAATGTTAAGAATTTTACTCGACATCTGAATCCTGTTTCACACTTGACTGAATAGCAAGCAGCACTTTCACTCGGGCCCCTAAATGCTGTTCTTTGGTTGTTTACTTGCAGTGTGAAGGGATGTGGGGCAGGGTGCTGCTTGTGACCTTGAGGGCCCCAGCGTGGCGGTAAGAGCCATTTTCGTCTCCTGACCAGATGAATACAGTAACAGAGGCCCGTTACTAGAGAAAGCCACTGACAGCCTGAAGAGCAGCGGTGAAATCACAGCTCTGTTCTCTCCTGAGACGTGAGCTAAAAGCTCCACTTTGCACCGTCCTACTTAAAGCGAGAGCTGAACATCGTTTGTGTTGCAGCAGTACTGCACTGGTTAAACCTTAAACACATTCCCTCTTCACACCCAGATCATCACAGTGTTGTGTTGGGGGGGTCTTACCAGGCCTATCAGGTATGGACTTCCTGCATCACCCAGGAGATGAGAGGTGAAGCTCTGGAAGGCGACAGCTGTTGCTCTCCGCGTGGGTATAACAACAAACTGCAAACACACAAAGAAACAAAGGCTGAAACATGCAGCAGCACAAAGTAACTGGAAACAGTTTAAATAACAGCCCAGGCACACCTGCCAGTCTCAGTAAAAGTCGTCCACAGAGCTGCGCCTCCACACAGTCACCACAAACACAAATCCAGCCGCTGCTTCGTTCACCCAGCTTCATTTGGCCGATTTGAACTTTTAGACACTAAAACACACATCAGAGAAAAACCTCCCCTGTGTTTGTTTTCACCAGCGCGGTGACGCAGCCTCAGTCGAGGCGGCGATTATCAGCCACACCCGAACCGTCGGCCGCTCGCACGTTTCCAAACCTGCATTGGTAAAGTTTGTCGCTGGAATTTCCAGTGACCCAGAGAAGTACTGGTTTCTCAACACTTACCATTAAGATGTCTGCTGTTATGGCCCAGTTGAGGAAAAGCAGCGTCTCTCCAATAAAGATACAAACCTAAAGACAGAAGGAGATCGTTAACTCTGTGTGGGAACAGCAGAGAAAGGCTTCGGCTGTGCTGGTTTATAAACATGTTATTATTTGTGGACTCGCCGGCTAAGCCGAGCGCCGAGCCCACGAGCTGAAGAAGAACTGTTGTTGAAGCTCAGTGTGGAAAACTTTCAGCTTGTTAAATCTCTACAGGTGGAGGAGAAAACTTGACAGGAACAGGCGGGCTGCTGGTGCACCGAGGGTCCAACACGGCCTCTCACGCTGATGTGTTTCCTGCCGGGGATAAAACTCGTGCTGCTGTCTCAGACCTGCAGCACAGAGAGATCACAGAGGGCGGCTGACAGCAGACAGGTCCGCTCTGAAAGCTGCCAACCGGACACCGTGACCGACACACGCACGCCGTGCGCTGACGAGACAACAGCTGCGAGAGGTCAAACGGCCTCGACAGAGCAGCGCCGACCGCCGCAGCCATGTCACGCCTCATAATGTGACACATCTGTCAGCGCTTTGCCGTGAAACTTGAGCTGATCGCTTACACGCGCTGCTGTACTGTAAGATGATTTAATAACGTACAGTAGACTGAAGCTGGCTCAAAGCAGTGACATCATGTGTTTGAAACTATGACCTCGTCGTGAGGACGGCTGTCTTTGTTGTTGGACCCGAGACAGCGTTCGCCAGAGCGACCTGCACCGTTACCATCTGCGACTGATACCAGGCGTCACTGGAGTCCATTAGCAAAGCTAAAGCCTGTTTCTGTAATAGAGCGACTGTATGAATTGAGTTGGACAGATCTGTAATGATGTAATTAATATGGAAACTTCTGCTCCTCGACTCTAATTGGCTGAGTCACGCTGCTGCCTGACACCTGATAAATGTGCACCTTTGACCTGGAAGAAGTTCAAATAAATCTTACTTCATTACATCGAAATCATTATTCGCATCAGTAATGATCTGTCAGCTGGGACTTTGTTTGGTGTGTTACCCGCAGGCCGCTCACTTAATCCATATAAACACACTTAACTGAACATATTGTTGCTTAAATAAATCAGCTTCTGGTTGTTTGCTCATCGACAGTGGGGAGCAGTGTTGGTCAAGTTACTTGAAAAAAGTAATCAGTAACTAATTACTGATTACTTCCCCAAAAAAGTAATCCTGTTACTTTACTGATTACTTATTTTCAAAAGTAATTAATTACTTAGTTACTTAGTTACTTTTTAAAAACACGATTTACAACCTGAATAGG